CGAGACCTAGGTTCTTCATGATAGTCAGAACAGAAGAACACGTCTCAACTGTGATCCTTTCAATGCGACGCAGCGCACTAGTATAAACTAATAGCCAAGACAAGCTACATCCAGTTTATACTACAACCTACACCGATAGTCATGTCCATAACTATCTCAGTTGTGAATACTATTTATATCTTATAAGGAACCGACAATGTAATCTTCTGTGTGACTACTAACACACCACATTGTCTACAATATAAGATAATTGGACATTTAGCATACAAGCAATCATAAAGAATCCAACAATGTGAAAAACATTTATTTCAGTCAAATGGGAAATCGAATAATACAATCCAAAAGCTCACGTAAAAGTTTGCTTTACAGTATACTCCAACAGTTATTACTTACATGCTGCTAGTTTATTTGCTTTTTGTTGCAAGGTTAGTTGTCTAATGCTGCTAGGTTAGTTGTATGTTGTTGCTAGTTTATTTATTCTATGCTGCTAGGTTAGTTGTTGTAAGTTGCTTGGTTATTACTTTCTTGTTGCTAGGTTAGTTGCTTTTTTTTTGCTAGGTTAATTCTTTCTTCCCGCTAGGTTAGTTGTGTATTTGTTGCTAGGTTAGTTGCCTAATGATGCTAGGTTAGTTTTTTATAGTTGCTAGGTTAGTGTCTAATGCTGCTAGCTTATTTTTTGTAATGTTGCTAGGTTAGTTTTTTTCTGCTGCTAGGCTAATTGTTTAAAGCTGCTAGGTTAGTTCAATTTCGTTGCAAGGTTAGTTGTATGTATATGCTATGTTTTCTGAAATAATACTATGCAATAACAACACATCAAATTTCTATTTATTACAAGCAGAAATGTCACTGGTCTTATTACAAGTTCTACTATTATGATTTCCCACTTCTCCACATTTTCCACAACGTCTTTTCAACTTTTGACTTTCTTTGATAAATTTTTCTCGTTGCGACAACAATCGGCTTTTTGTACTGCTTCCGCTCCCCTTATTTTTTGCTTGCTGTGGTGGCAGGATATCAACCTCGAGATTTGAAACAGATCCACAGAACTCTTGTATCACAGCTCCTTTACTTAGTATTGAACTTGAAACTTAATGTGCACCCAACAAATGGTTCTTTTCTTCATTTATAATCCTCGATAATCGTTCCAATTTATCATCATTATCTTCAGCAAGACTTATACAACAATAAAAATCAGACCATAGATTGTTTAGATATGCATTTCTCTGATTTTTGCCATCAAGTGGATTTAATCTTGCATTATCAATACCATGTACAGAAGAAGCAACCTTAAGCCAACGGTTGAGGAGGTATTTCTCTGGTATTTTTTCTAAATCCTTGATTAGCATTAGTGCATGACATAACAATCCAAACTGTTGAAACATTTTGCAGCTGCAATCTACCCAATCCCCGCACTTATTAAGAATGAAGTCAATACCATCTCGACCAACTTCTACAACCTTATATCTGGTTTTTTCATGCTCCTTTTCAATATGCACAGGCACACATCTGAAACATGCTGCTTCAATCTCCATTTGCACCTCTGAAAACACTGTTTTTGTGTAAACTTTTGCAGCATGTTTTTCAATTTGTAACGGTGTCTTGCACTCAGGAGGTGCTGTCACACATTCATGATTCAGCTTCCTTATAACATGCCTTTGTGAATCCATTGCACTTTCAAAATGCATAAAGAACTCAACTAAGTTTGCTTGAGGAGATATGTAGCTTCCGAACCAACTATTAACACTCTCAGACCTAGAAGTTGTTTTCAGTAGGCCACCCATTTTGACATCCTTAAAGTATGCTGGTATCCACGACTTTCTAATCTGAAATAGATTGTTAAACCACTGATTCTCTGTTAAGGCAAAATCATTCATCAATCTTCTCCACTTTTCTTCAAATTCATCAGGATTTATGTAAATATCCCACACAATTTCATTCAGCCTTTTGATGAAGTTATTATCCTTGGCTAATGTAGGACCAACCTTTACATTTACCTTTTCCATGATATGCCACATGCACAAACGATGTCTTGCCTGTTTGAAAGTCGCCTGAATTGCATTCTTCATAGCAGGATCTTGGTCAGTAACAATGTAATATGGTTCATTTCCCATAGCTCTAAAAAAATTTTCCAATAACCAAATGTGTGATTCCACATCCTCTTTAACCATCAATCCAGCTCCAAATGTGACACACTTTTTATGGTTATCCATTCCCGTAAATGGTACAAACACCATTTTGTACTTGTTTAAAGATAGAAAGTAAATCAGAATAATAAAGGTTAGATATATGTGTGGTTGCTAGGTTAGTTGTTTTTGGTTGCTAGGTTATTTGTCTTCTATTTGCTAGGATAGTTGTATGTTGTTGCTAGGTTAGTTGTTTGATGATGCTAGGTTAGTTCTCTACTATAGCTAGGTTGGTTATCATACGTTGCTAGGTTAGTTATATCTAGTTTGCAAAGTCAGTTTAATTCACATGCTACTAGAAAACATACATTACATATAAATTAGAGTGAAGTCAAGGGAAATGTTTGCGTACCTGTTAGTGTTGTAGGTTGCGTCAAATGAAACAACATCTCCAAACATGAGGTAATTTTTTCTTGAAATCTGGTCAGCCCAAAAGATCCTGCTTAATTGATTATTTTCATCCACAGCATATTCAAATGCAATGTCCGGGTAAACTTCCTGCTTGTTGAGAAATTTCTGAATGATGAGTTGTGCATCTGCCCCCGACATGTAAGTCATAAGTTCTCTTTTGAAGTTTTTGAAATCAATTGCCAGAGCACCAACATTTTCATATCCTCCAACCATTTCCTTGTATAACCTGTGTGTTTTAGCAGGTCCAATGTTGGCTTTTACACAATTAAGGACAAACTTCTGATGGCCACAATTCAATTGCCTGTTTGTATTCAAATAATGTGCTTCCAGTGTCAAACTGTGGCAGTGTTTCTCTTCGAAATATGTAATTTTGTATCCTTTTCCATCATCGTATTCAAACACTGCCCGAGCCATGCAACCAATTCTTTTTGAAACACGTTCTCGATGAACTGCTGTTGAATTTTGGGGTCTGGATTGTAGTTTAAATCGTTCCTTGCTGCAAACTATGAATTGTTTTCTCACCATCCCACTTCTAAAACGTTTTTTTGTACTAGTACGAACATCAAATCCACCATTTGCTCCATAGTTTCTGTAATATTGCATCCCAATTTCCAGATTCTCAAAGAGCATGTCAACTTTAGGTCTTACATCTTCTTTGACAATTGGTATCCAGTACTTTGTTGAATTTGGTGATATTACCAATTGAAATTAACATCCATCATGTGTAATACCTGTTGCAAAATATCATGCAAAAACATTAGCCTTAATAATTTCAAATGCAAGGTTATTTGTATCGTGTTGCAATGTTAGTTGTATGTTTGCTGCAAGGATAGTTATATCTATTTGCAAGTTTATATGTCTCTTGTTGCTAGGTTAGTTGTCTCTTGTTGCTAGGTTTGTTGTCTTTAGTTGCTGGGTCAATTGTCTGTAGTTGCTAAGTTAGTTATATTTATTTGTTAGGATAGTTCTATGATGCTGCTAGGTTAGTTCACTCATGCTGCTAGGTTAGTTCTCTCATGCTGCTAAGTTAGTTCTCTCATGCTGCTAGGTTAGTTCTCTCATGCTGCTAGGTTAGTTGTATGTAGGTGCTGTGTTCGTTTTATGTGTTTGCTAGGTTAGTTCTCTCATGCTGCTAGGTTACTTCTCTCAGCTAGGTCAATTTTCTGTAGTTGCTAAGTTAGTTATATTTATTTGCTAGGATAGTTCTCTGATGCTGCTAGGTTAGTTGTATGTAGTTGCTAGGTTAGTTCTCTGATGCTGCTAGGTTACTTCTCTCATGCTGCTAGGTTAGTTGTATGTAGGTGCTGTGTTCGTTTTATGTGTTTGCTAGGTTAGAACTCTGTTTTGCTAGGTTAGCTGTCTACTGCTGCTAGGTTAGTGATCTAGTGCTGCTAGGTGTTAGTTATATCATGAATCAAAATTCCAGAATAACATGGACAATTTATTCAACATTATCAGCAACATTATATAATTTGAACAACTGCATCAACATTATATAATATTCTTGCCAGAAAACAGAGATTCTACAAAAATCAAAATTGCAGATAAGCACGAACAATTTTTTCAATATTACGTGATTGATTCTAATTGAATAACTCGATTTTCATTCATGGTGAATTCATCAACAACTATTTTATTTAAAGTCAGTATACCTTCTTCCATTAATGGCGCAACTGGAGTTGCTTCGATCTCCATTGAAGCTGCTTCCGTCGACATCTGTAGATAAATTTGATGAAATCGACTTTTTTTTCCATGGATATTTTTGACGAGCAGTTGAGTTTGCCTATCGAATCAATAGAAAACGAGAGTTAAACCTAATCAGACGATGAAATCGAACTTCAAATTGATAAGGAAATCGAGATTGAGAAAGAAATCGCAGAGAATCGTGATTGAGGAGGAAATCTGAGATATTATTTCCGATTTTGTGTGCACGCGAGCTGAAGGTTTGTGATTTTTCAGCTCGTGATTTTATAATTATATATATACCTGATGCTGACCGTAGACTTAAAAGGCAGATTCAACGGTTGAGATTGGGTCTCACGTCCACATTTTAAGAGGTGGACCCATTGGATCCGTCCCCTATANTCTCTCCCACCCCACCCACGAGCCCCACAACCACGCACCCACCCCAACTTTTCTCTCTCTCCCGTTGCACCCACCACGGCACCACACACTTCACCGCTTGGTCACGCCGCGTCGCCGCAGTCTGCCACCTCGACTTCGTCGAGCATCTGCTCTCCCGGAGGTCTAAGCTCACCGAAAAAGAAACCTGCCCCAATTGTCTATAGTGTTATCTACATAACAAATCGCGGCACTTGTCCCCTGCGCCATCCACGCCGACGCCGCCGTCTTCAGTGCTATCTACGTCAATGCAGCAGCCTTCTCGCGTGGTCCGAAGCTTGAAGCATGTCTATCACAGAAGAAAGTTTCCCCAATCGTCTATGCCATCCACAACATCACTCGCACCGCAACAGCCGGTCACTTGAGCAATCACCGGCGGCGCCTTCGGTACCACATTCATCTCCAGTTACGTTGAATTCGATAGAGCACACCGTCACTAGGTTAATTAGGGTGCCAATTGATTTACAATATCCGTTTTAGAGCTCCATTCGGCGACCAATTTTTTTATTTTACTTTTTTTTTCAATGAACATAAATCAGGAATTTCATGGCGAGACAAAACATAATCTAATCAGCGGCGGACCAGATCTCACTCGGCGTCACCGTCCACGACCTCCGTTGCGCCCTCCCCATGTGGCCAGAGCTACTGACCGCCCCACCACCTCGTTCTTGGTCCCCGTCGAGGCCGACATCCCCGCCGCTAACATCGACCATGTCATCCACGGCCGCTTCCACCTCCTCACCTGCAGCGTTGATCAGAGGCTCAATGCCGGGTATGACAGGCTACGCTCACTGCAATCGATTGATGTTCAATCATTGATTGATGTTCGGTCGTTTCAACTGAAGTTTGAATCGGCAGATGGAATCAATCTAGAAGTCTGACGGCGAGCCTAGCGCGTGGCATTTCATTGTCACGGTCTACTTTGCCTTAGGGTTCGTGGCTGTAAGGTTTTTCCTTGATAGATGCGTCTTCGGTGTAAGCTCTTTCTCTGTGCGGTGATGGTATTTTCGATTGGCTTGATTTTCATAACGTTTTTGTGCTTTAGTAGGAAGGAGAAGCAACCTTGGTTTCAGAGTTCAAGTTATTTTTAGTTTCTATGTCAACTTTTAACTCTACGTTTGTTTAGTTTCATTACCAGATATTGTGTCATTTAGTAATGACTTGCCTTGTGCTTCGAATGCTATCAGGTACAGTTTTGAACTATTGTTTTGGGTATCATGATAACATTTTGTAAGGGTCTTATTTAATTGGAACCACCTAAACTCAAGGTTTTGTGTAAAAAAAAAATATATATATATTCAATGTATTGCAATTTAGCTAATGGGCCAAATCTATAGTTTAATAAAATTTTAATAATTGCACAATAATGTTATGTGAAATGCACAATATTACGTATGGATATGCACATTAAAATTTCACAGATTTACCACTATATCAATGTACTATATATTGCACAATAGTATTAGACAAAATGCACATTAGTTCTTATGGAACTGCACATTACATTATGTGTATTAATTAGTTTACATAAACTAGTTAAAACCATAATGCACATTGTATGTTACAATACTGCACATTACAATTAAAATGTTGCACAATTATCTATTCAATGTTTCACGATAACTGAATGAATAATTCTACTTAATTTGTACAAACACACCCCCATTTGGATTCAACCCAAGAATAATTGTGGTTACATTGGGCTATAATTTAGAAGTGCACAATTCTGTCTCCAAACATGCATAATAGTGTTCTAAATGTTGCACATTACACTGAAAAATTTATGCAATAGCTCAACCCGAGGAAAGAAATATAAGCTCTCAGTTCCACATCCAGTCTCGGTTTTTCAATATAAGCTCAAATAAAATTTATGCAATAGCTCAACCCGAGGAAAGAAATATTACCAAGGACTTGTTGGGCAGTGAGACGTCGCCCGACATCTGGATTGAGCATTTTCTTAACGAGACCCTTTGCTTCGTCTGATACTTTAGGCCACTGGTCTCTCTTAAAGTCAATAACAGATCGGATAATCGCGTATGTTTCTCCTTGTTCAGTTTCTATGCAAAAGAAAAGGATTACACGCATGGGATAACTTTGCTCCTATAGTTCTCAGATCTTTGCAATTTACATTGGTAAAAATCATTTGAAATATCCACAAGAGTAAAAAGGGTATGCACACAATATATACGATATTGAATCATATGGTATAAAATACAAAACAATCATCCATAATATTTATGAGAATGAAACTATGTTCTGCAGTAACACAAATATCCAAATGCATTGGATAATGAAATCAAGATTAGAACTCATAAAATAAACCACTACGAACATATACTAGGTAGAAATATAATTGAATACTGAAATATCATACTACTGCCTTGGTTAGGCAATAAGAACATCCCCAATCTACATTTCACAGCGTATAACACAGACTCACAACAGTGGGCTCCAGTCAACAGAAAACATGCCCACAAACGAATCAACTAATCATAAGTAGATGAGAACAAATTCCACAAATAAAACCACAATTTTCAAAGCACAAACAATATCCAAAGTCCATTCAAACCCAAAAAATGCAAATTAGATTTGCCTCATCAATCACTCGATATGATTTACTCTTTCCTAATTATTAGACAATGAACCGATAACTGTATAGCGTTAAATCGATAATAAAAACCCAAAAGTTCATTAAATCACTATTTCTAAAATATGAAACTCCCTAACCAAAATATACAAACATTGACAAGATAAAGAAAAACGTAGTAAATGAATGATTAAAAAATGAACCAACAAGAATAATGAAAGAATTTCCTCCACAGAGAGAGTCAATATCAATATCAGACCAAAACTTCAACTAACTCTACCTTGAATTGGTTAAAAGGTGATGCTTCTGGAATCAAAAGCTAAGGACTTTGTCACGATCAACAAGATAAAAATATATGTCTTTTCTAATCTACTCCTTCAAATCCACATCTCGAGCAACCTGGAAATATGATAAATAGCTTCCGCATTCCATTTATCAGAAATGTAGTGATCAGTTTACAAGAATGTGCACATTAGTAAAGACTACCTTGATAATAGTGTAAAGTTGGGCATGTGCTTTGTATATTCTCTTGTCTTCCTTCTCTTGACGATTATTTTTCAGTCTTATCTGGAAAAAGCAATGGCAATGATTACGTAAAACAATGAATATGATAAGATTAAATCTCTTCTATACTGTAACGTTACCCTTAGATTTTCTACCATATCACTCTCATCCACGTTGCATACTCTTCTCGATTATTTTTCAGTCTTATCTGGAAAAAGAAATGGCACTGATTACGTAAAACAATGAATATGATAAGATTAAATCTCTTCTGTACTGTAACGTTACCCTTAGATTTTCTACCCTATCCCTCTTATCCACGTTGCATATTATCTTATCTTTGTCACTAACTCTTATATACATAAGCATGTATGCATTTAAGTACTTTGTAAATTTGAACAGAGTATTATTGCACCCTGGATTTGTTTGTGGAAACTGCAAGACAAATAAGCAACATAAACTAAGACACACAAATTGTGAAATCAAAAGGCATAAATATTACCTCTTCTTCACCACCATCTTCTTTGGTGACCCTTTCCATTATCAATACCTAAAAGCAGAATGATAGAACACAAAAAATGTCAAGTCCAATCTATTGAGATAATACATAAAATAGAACTATAAATATATGCACAAATCTCATATGCAATTGATTAGGCCCATGACAGGTTACGTGTACAATAGGTTCAGAAAATTATTCATGCTTGTCCAAACATCATCATAAATGAAACTCATAAACTTCAGTGTCCCTTTGTTTCCCTTTGAACTCTGAAAGATATATGCACATGGCGGACGAAAAAGGGATAGACTTTCGGCAGAACTAAGACACATATCACTCATTGATTCCATTTATACCCCGTGTCAATAACACAAAGCTTATCTTTTTTTTTTTCACTATTTATTTGATAAAACAAAGATCCTAAGCAACCACAATGATAATCATACACTACTAAAAAGCCAGAACAAAAAACCTCAAACACAAAAGGTAAAAAGTGAGACTAAAACTTCACATTATATATACATTAATGCACATAAAATCATTATATGAAGCATGTTATAAATTTTATCACATCAAATCATTATATAAAGCACATTAAATTGCACATTACCGGCCTCCGACACCATCACGTTCTGCTTCCTCGCCTCCCGACTCCAATGCCATACTGCTGCCCCCGATTGAAACCCTAATTGTCAACAACAACATCCTTCCCATCAGCTCCCTTTTCATCCCTCGTAGCCTTGATCTCATGGCCTCCGAGAATCGACCCCAGCTGGGCCTCAACATCACCCAGGAGCTCATAGATGGCAACAAATTCAACGTGGAGGTGTTGATGCTCACCGCCTCGGGGTTCGTCTCGGGGTTCGGGCTCGATATGGCCAGCGACGGCATATCTTCGCCCCTACCGACACGGCCAACGTGGAGGTGTTGATGCTCACCGCCTCGGGGTTCGGGCTCGATATGGCCAGCGACGGCATATCTTCGCCCCTACCGACACGGCTTTTGCGGATCTGCCTCTTCCAACAGGTTCCAGTCGCTAACCACCGATCAGAAGGCCGTCGTGCTCAAATTCCATGTCCTCCGGCGATGCTCAGACGAAGGGAATTCATCACCACCAATCGCGATTTTAAGGGCTTCTACTTGGTTGCTCTCATAGTCTCACGCGACTTCTGCGGACATACAACAACAAATCAGACACTACCTATGCTCTCGATCTCTATCCATCCATCATTTGATTGTAATCCAAATCTAGCTTTCATCTACATTAAGATTTCCGATTCATCTCGCTCATCCTTTCTCCTCTCTCTTTCTCAAACTAAATTAGGTTCGTACCCTACATCCAAACCCCTCTACCTCTATTTTTTATAAGTAATTTCCAATTATGCCCTCATATGTTAGAAAAATTCACTAATCTTCAAAAATGCCACCGCGAATTGACTTATTTTAATAGGCACAATGAGCGAGATCTGACCGTTACTTTATCAGATCAAAAGGCCCTTCTTTATTCTCATTTCTTTTATTATCTCTTATTCTCATTTGAGCGCAACTCTATATATATATATATATATATATAAAGGGTTGGGTTCCGGTGAGAATAACTCTTACCGAAAGAAATAAGAATGAATTAGGTACACAAGATCAACACGATCTGATGGTCAATACGGACGCGCTGAAACTTAATTTACATATCAATTGAAGGCTAAGAATGTAAATATACATCTTTCACGAATTAATCAATCTTGCAGCTGAAAATCCCGTCCTACCCATCATCTCTATCTCTCTCACACACTATCTACCTCTCTCACACACACAGTACACAAACGCGACACACACACACAACACACACTCACCGGCGAACATTCAACCATCATAGTCGCCGCCGCCATCACGACTCCGCCTCTGCCACGCCTCCGCCGTCGACGCGCCACCGCCGTTGCGCTACGCCTCTGTAAATCCTGCCCTTCCCTCCCTCTCCGCAGAACATCGCACACTCAGTCGACCTGCGCTCGTCGTCTCCAGCTATGAGAAACAGATTTCGTCGTCTCCGCCGCCGCTGTAGTGTCGCCTACTCCGCCTCTGTCACGCCTCAGTCGTTGCCGAGCCACCGTCGCCATTGCACCTCATCTACAAAATCCCTTCGATTCCCCCGTCGTCTCCGCACCTTCGTCAGTCGTCTCGGTTCGACTCCGACCTTCCATTCGCGGCCAACCTCGACACAACAGACAACTCTTTGCCATCACCGCCTAACTCCGGCGACTTCCATTCACGACCAACACTAACTTCCACCAGCACGAACAAGAAGCTCCCGATGCAATTGGAGCAGACAGACGGCGAGACTCTCTCTGATTGCGTCTAATTGGCCGGAAAACCGCGTCCGGGTAAGATGCATCCCTTCCCCAATCACCTGCAAACCTATAATGGAATTGGCATTTTTTTTTTTTAAATTAGAAATGGTTCAGGACCCAATTTTATAAATTTTGTCATGACCCTCACAACCAATGGAGGATTGGTGACGGAGAATGGGGATAAAAGTGCGAATTTGAGTTATGGCGATGAGGATTGCGTCGATGAGGATGAAGGTCTCAATATATGAAAGGTCGCAGACAATCGACGGGAATGAAGTTGATTTCAAGATTGGGGCTTTGGTTGGGCTTTCATTTATGTTGGTCCATGTTGGACCTATTTTTATTATTATTAAGTATTCATTGGGCAGCTGTTTAGCCCACTAAGAATTATTTCATGAGACCCACTTGGTTGTTATTTAGAGATGATGAATGGAAAGCATGGGAGGATTTGATAAAACAAATTCTTATCTTTCTTCTCAATCTATTCCCCGTCGTCTTCTTCCCCAAATTTTTATCTATTCTTCTACATATAACTAATTATAGAAAATACTAGAAAATCCAAAAAAAATTACAAATCACAAGCTGTATGTAATATAATTATATTTCAATTTAGTACACATGCCAAATCTGTAATTAATGAAAGCTATAAAGAAATGTTATTTATTATATTTTTTATACATACATATTGAATAATAAATAAAATATTAAATAAAAATAATATAAAATATTAAAGTAATGTAATGATAAAACAAAATAATAGATAAAATATTAAATAAATAAATAATATAAAATAGTGCACTTTATATATCAACACTTTATATAGAAGAATGTTGCACTTTATCAAACAACACGTTGCACCTTACAACACAACACGTTGCACTTTATCAACACACTTCACGATTAACGTCAACAGCTTCCGCGAAAATACCACAACAACATAAATATAAAAAACGGATATACATAATAATTTAACATTAATCACATAATTTATCCACACAAAAAACAAGAATGCTACCGTACCAAAATTACATCAGTTCACTTTATACATCAACACGTTGCACTTTATAAAATAACAAGTTGCACTTTACAAAACATCACGCTGCACTTTATCATGACTATCATATATCGAAACTGGCCGAACTTAATTTTTTTCAACCAAAAATTATATAAAAATAATAAATAAAATTCTTAACGTTTTAAACAGTATTTTCTTATAACATAAAGTATAATTTAATTCAGATGATTTTCTGTTAATTCTGCTAACCTCCCGAATAAACCAAGTACTTTTTCAAAAGTTCAACACGTTGCACTTTATAAAATAACAATTGCACTTTACAGAACATCACGCTGCACTTTATCATGTCAGATTTTTTTTTTTTTTTTTTTAAAGTAAATAAAATGACCACATATGCCGAACTATACAGAAAAAATATCAGCGATTATTTATTTATTTAGTTATTTATTGTTATATTAATTCTATTTCGAATCTATAATTTTTATGTATTGCGAGTGCACATTAGAGTTATACAGATTGCACATAT